TTCCGATTCGATCTGATTTCTAATGATTCCTTTGTTTAATTCGCAGCTAGGCGTGATTTTCTCGAGGATGTCACCGCTCTTGTTCGTACCTTTCCCTTTTCCTTCTTACTCTCTCCATTGTCGAGATCTATCTTCTGATTATCACCTTCTTGTTTCTCTTTTTTTTTTCTTTTGCGATTTCTATTCAGACATTCAATTCCGACGCCGTTCGTTTGAATCTGCTTCCTCAGGTACATTTTCTTCGTTTTCTGTTCAGATCTTAGCTTTGTTCATTCGATTTTTTTTCTTTGATTTTTTTTCTTTGGTTCTGAACGCCCATAGGAAACACCGACAACCATTAGAGGGCCCGTAGGTGTAGTTTATTCTAAAAAATCTGAGGATTCCTTAAATGGGTTTGCTAGTTCTTCCCTGTCACAAGGTACTGCAAATCCCTAATCTCTCCTCTTAATCCGCTTTTCGTTTCATCGCCTTCTCCATGTTTCTTTCTTTTTTCTTAAAATGCGTATGCTTTACTTGATAACCAGATTTACCCTTGTCTGAAACGAGAGAACACGTATCTGCTCGAGTTCTTTCCACCACCGGCGTTGATGATCAGTCTCAAACTGAAAATCCCATCAGACAGGTGACTGATGCAGCCGCTGGAATTGATAAGAATGACGGTCAAGACCACCGCCGCAGTTCAAATGGCAGTTCAAATGGCGATTTTCATAATATGGTAACCTCTCTGTGTTTGTCATTGTGCCAAAGTGAAATGTAGCCCTCAATTGGGTCTTTGTCTTCTGGCTGAGCAAATATAGCATGCTGTGATATGCTTGATTAATATTTGATTGAAGAAGCAAATAGTTTCCTTGTAGTAGAATGTCTCGTAGAAACACAACAGGGCAACTTATGTGGCCAGCTTTAGCCAAAATCATATCATGTGAAACTTACTCTGGGATTAAGTTTTTTGGTCTCTCTAATCGTTTTGTTTTGCTGCGTTTGTAGCAAACACAACAGAGGCTGTTGTCCAGGAAAACATCTGGCAAGGTCGAGGATAATGACCCAAAAAATGTTGGACCTGAAAAACCGAGAGGAAATTTCGTGGCGCCTGATGCTAGTGTAAGACATCTTAAAGATCAGCTGATTAGGGCAAAGGTCTATCTGTCTCTTCCAGCCGCAAAAGCTAATCCTCATTTTGTGAGAGAACTCCGGCTCCGTATTAAAGAAGTTCAACGTACAGTTGGGGATGCATCCAAGGATTCAGATCTGCCAAAGAAGTAAGTGATCATAAAAAAAAGTGCATTTCCAGTTGGCCTAATGGTTTTAATCACTTTTTCATGCCGTTTTAAAAGGTTTTATATGGTTTCGTCGTGCTAATCTGATTTGTCTGACACTTCTAAACCTAGTGCTAACGAGAAACTGAGAGCAATGGAACAAACATTGGCCAAAGGCAAGCAGATTCAGGATGACTGTGCTGCTGTGGTAAAGAAACTACGTGCAATGCTTCACTCAACGGAGGAACAGTTACGGGTGCACAAGAAACAAACCATGTTCTTGACGCAGTTGACTGCTAAAACGATTCCTAAGGGCCTTCATTGCCTTCCTCTACGCCTCACTGCTGAGTACTATGCTTTGAATTCCTCTCAGCAACAATTCCCTGATCAAGAAAAATTAGAAGATCCTCGGTTGTATCACTATGCACTTTTCTCTGATAACATCTTGGCAGCTGCTGTTGTTGTGAACTCTACTATAACTAATGCAAAGGTAAGCTTTGTGTGTGTTATTTTCTCAAGGAAAATTAGAAGTTTGTCCACTTTTGGAATAATAAACTTGCTTCCTTTACTTTAGTCAAGCTTATGTTTTATTGGTTCTTTTGCAGCATCCCTCGAAGCATGTCTTCCATATTGTCACTGACAGGCTCAATTATGCGGCAATGAGGATGTGGTTCCTAGCCAATTCGCCAGGCAACGCGACCATTCAGGTCCAGAATGTCGAGGAATTTACGTGGCTGAATTCAAGCTACAGTCCTGTTCTCAGGCAGCTCGGTTCCCAATCCATGATAGATTATTACTTCAGGTCACACCATGGGAATTCGGATTCAAACTTGAAGTTCCGAAATCCAAAATACTTATCCATTCTGAATCATCTCCGCTTCTACCTTCCCGAGATTTTTCCAAAGCTCAATAAAGTACTCTTCTTAGACGATGATATAGTTGTGCAGAAGGACCTCTCTGGTCTCTTTTCGCTTGATCTGAAGGGTAACGTCAATGGTGCTGTGGAGACTTGTGGACAAAGCTTTCATCGCTTTGACCGTTATCTTAACTTCTCGAACCCACTAATCGCCGAGAATTTTGACCCCCATGCTTGTGGTTGGGCATATGGGATGAATATCTTTGATCTGGACGAGTGGAAGAGACAGAATATCACAGAGGTGTATCACCGATGGCAGAACCTGGTAAAAGAAAAAGCAAACACCTTGTTAAAGATTCTTCAATTGCTTGGGATTAAGTGCAGATTCTTCAATTGATGACCTTCTGATACAACTTTTGTGTAAGTGCAGAATCAAGACCGGAGTCTGTGGAAGCTAGGGACGTTGCCGCCTGGTCTCATAACGTTTTGGAAACGCACACATCCACTGGACCGGAATTGGCACGTGCTGGGCCTTGGCTACAACCCCAGTGTCAACCCGAGGGATATCGGTCGGGCTGCTGTTATACATTACAACGGCAACCTTAAACCGTGGCTCGAGATCGGCATTACGAGGTACCGAGGCTACTGGTCGAAGTACGTGGATTATGAACACGAATATATGAGGGAATGCAACATCAATCCATAGAGTTAAAATCCCTTTTTCAGACATATATTACCTGTCTTTGCTGATAGATCAAACGTTTTTTTGTTGTTGGTTGGTTGCGTTTGTGGAAGTGAAGAGTAATTCTTTTGCTGTATACAATCTTGTTTTGGCGTTTGTATATCGTTGCGTTTGGACACCTGTGGGTGTTTTACCGTTGCTCGAGGGATGGTTGTCTTTTTGCCCAAATCCTTCTTTGTTGTTCCATAGCTGCTCCCATTCGTAGTCTTGTATCATTTTCGAGTTGCTTAAGGAGCTCGACAGAGCTGCGTTAGGAATGCGGAAACTATTTGCAGCAGCTGTTGGAAAAAATAAAAATAAACAAGGACTATAAAATAAGAACTGTTTAAAATTATCTTCATAAAAGTATTTATTTTAATTAATAATATATAAGAGATAAATGTTCATAAAATGAATATAGATATCTTTTTGTTTAAAATTATCTCTAAACATAGCTTTTAATTAAATTTAAACGAAACCTCTTTGTATTTATCTTTTGATTTAAAATTTAAAAAGTAATTATTAAAGATATGTATTTTCATTTAAATTTAAATAACGTATAAATAACATAACTACCAGAATAATAATCACATATTAATCTTTTCAACTTATTACCATGAATTTTCATTCAACTAATCATAATTGATTAAATATAAATCATATATAATTTATAAATCTGTACTATATCATTTTACAGATATTCAACTGCCTTACTGTACTCGTGATGTATATAAATAAGAATTTTATGAGAGAAATAATCTTTTACTGTAAAATTATTAAACAAACCATTTTAGAGTAAACGCTAAATGATTAATTCAAATGTTTATAAATTTTTTAAAATGTTATATATAAGTGGATAATATCAAACTTCAATGTACTCAAATTAAGAAAATATCTTGAAAATTTGAATCTTATAATCCCTATCGCTTGCTCGAGCTCTTATAATACAAATATTAAAACATTTTTAAACCGTGACGTTGATACATAAAGCGTATAATCTGCGGGTCAATCAAAATAATACTTTGCATAGCCAAAACAAACTCCAAAACGATTTACAAATATGCTTTAGCAAATATCACGTGTGGTAATTGTACATGCTGCCCCCCCCCCCTGATGACATACACAACCGTGTTGGCACCCACTCCTCAACTGCAGCACCCTCCACCTTGCGACGATGATCCATCTCTTAAGCCTGATGGCCCTGGAATTCCTCCATATCCAACTTTTATTCCATATGTCTGCATATATATGTATATACATCGCAATGATTTAACGTAAGACTAGCCCGCGATCCAACAAAAAATGAAGCGGAGAACAGCAAAACTACTCAATCTAACCTCATTTGACACATCAAAGTCGCCGTCTTGGATCTTCTTGTATATCGTTGCGGCTGTCTTGATGAATGCCTACAAAGAATTTCACAACACAATGAGTTGACCCACATACTGAATATGATGAATCATATGAGTAGAATGGAAGAACTTCAAGGATTATGAGGAGACCTCTCCTCCCATTACACCGAAAAGTACCTATACCGAGCTCACTCTAGATTATTCAACTACCTTGAAAAGCACCTCTCCCTAGTTCATGACTAATTCTTGCAACACAGTAAAATCACTCCAACCACCTAACTCTTACTATTTCTAGTCATACAACAAAACCAAAGATGACACAAGTTATGGAACAGAAAGAATATGAGTTTGTGTATATGTAACTAGCCACATCCAGACATGAACAGTTTACCTCTTCGACATTCTGAGCAGTTTTGGCGGAAGCCTCCATGAATATTAGCCCATGCTCCTTTGCAAACTGCTCTCCTTCCTCCGTGCTCACTGCCCTTCTGTGGGCGAGATCACACTTATTACCAATGAGCATTATTGTCATGTTTGCATTCGCATGCTGCCTTGCATCCTCTAGCCAGCTGGCCAGGTGATTAAATGTTTCCCTCCTGCAAAGCAAAAAGGATCAATTATGTGAGCATCAATGCTGAAACTGTTAAGCATGAAACTGTTATGCTCAACTTGTTGTTTTTGTAGCACAAGAAAGAGAAAGTCAATTCATGATAAGAAGAGACACACGCTACCTGGTGATATCATAGACGAGCAATGCGCCAGCAGCGCCTCTATAGTAGGATCTGGTAATAGATCTGAAGGATTCTTGACCAGCCTAGAGTATCACGCCAAGATATTATAGGATTAGTGACATTCACACAAAACACTGTATTCGCTTCTGCCAACAATCCGATGATGACAATAACAGCAATCAACAGAGAAAAGGAGAAAGGGAAGATACCGTATCCCAAATCTGGAGTTTGATGGGTTTGTTGTCGATGGTGATCATTCTGGCCCCAAACTCAACACCGATGGTGAGGTCATGCACCGGTTGGAACCTCTTGTCGGTGAACTGAAGCAGAAGACATGATTTCCCAACCCCTTAACTCCCAAGCCACGAGAAAAATCACACTCACATCAATGTCGATGATACAAGACCATCAAACGATCAAGAGAGATGTCGAGAAGCCAAAAAACAAAACGAGATCCAGAGGACCCGATTCATTCGAATACCAAGTCAATTTTGAAAATGCATCGATCTGATCCGGGACGAAAGGAGAAGAAAGATGAGATTGGAAGAGAAGTTACCAGTGTCGCCGATGATGATGTACTTGAAGAGATAAGCGTAAGACATCTCCGCTTAGATCAGATCAAGCGATTTTGATTCCCTTCTCCCAATGACGACGATCGGAGTAGAGAATGACAAAAAAACGAATTTGTTTATGTTTTAAAAAAAAAAAGACGGAGGGTTCGGTTGTCTTCTAGCGCTTCCAGCGAAGCACTCCAATCTCCATCGTCGCCTGTCATACACTTGAAGGCGTTTCCTTAATCCGTACTTGCACTTCGTGGCGTTATTTTGACTGAAGACCACCACGCATTCCACTTATTGTTGCTAATTTGTTAATATAGAATTGTAATTGAATCAACTTCATATAAAAATTGAATGGTTATTATTTTTAGGGGATATCGCCATAAAAACCCTGTACTTTTCCCAGGTCAACGAAAAAATCCTGGAAGGCGTTTCCTTAATCCGTACTTGCACTTCGTGGCGTTATTTTGACTGAAGACCACCACGCATTCCACTTATTGTTGCTAATTTGTTAATATAGAATTGTAATTGAATCAACTTCATATAAAAATTGAATGGTTATTATTTTTAGGGGATATCGCCATAAAAACCCTGTACTTTTCCCAGGTCAACGAAAAAATCCTGTACTTTTTTGCTTACCAATTAAATCCTATACTTGGTATGATTAACCAATAAAACCCCAAACTTGTTAATAATTCACCGAAAACCCCCCGCGACTGCCAACTCAAACAAAAATGATGATGTGGCAATAACTTGGCTTCCAAGTTATGTACACATCATCAAAATTATGACACATCATCATTTCAAACAAAAATAAATTACATAATTTATTTAAATTAATTTATATACATATAAATTCACACATATATATATATTACATATAAAATTACTTATAACTACTAAAACATACATATATATATATATATATTATAAATTACATTAAAAATAATATATATATATATATTATTTGTTAATATATATTGTATATATATTATTTTTTAATATATAGTGTATATATTAGTTATAATTACTTTTCTTTTAATATGTATATTAGTTGTATATATATGTTACATATATAACTAATACATATACATATACATATTATTTTTAATAGATATATTTATACATGTAACATATACATATTATTTTTAATAGATATATTATATGTGTATATGTTAGTTATAATTATTTT